AGAAGGCAGAGCCATCCTGTTCCAGTCATTTCCAGGAATTTGGTCAGCCATGCCCCTTCCTGCCAGTCACACTGCTACTGGGAGTCACACTCCTGGTAAGGCTGGCCAGGGCAGGCACAGGCAGCTCCTGCTTTACCCCTCGGTGCCCAGTTCATAGCCCTGCCCCTCTACCTGCACCATGGGCCTGGGGCCGCCCATTCACTCTCACGGTTCTGCACAGCTCACACATGTCCTGCACACCCTCTCGCAGCCTCTACTGGGGCTCTGGGCTTAGCTCCCCGTGTCCTGCCTCTGGGTCCCTGGGCTCTGGAAACACCAAGTCCAGGTTTGCCTTGAGGTTTGGGGAGCTGAGAGACTGTGGGGATCAGAGGCTCTCCCCTATCCACCCTTGCCGGTGGGGAGAGCTGTTCTCCCTGGACATTGAAAGACTGTCTTGGGAGTTTTTCCTCTTAGGATCTTACAGAGTTTCACCAAGACATAGGTGGCACCCAAGAGTTTGCCAGAAGCACCCCAGTGTATTCCATGTGTGCAGGCTCTATCCAGCTACCCCCAAACGGGCATTAGCAGGTCAGAGCATAATTATGTAGGTTGTTTACAGGCTACCTCGATTCTGCGGTAACAACTTTCATCTAACAAACAGTGGTGCCTACTGCTCTCAGGTGCTCCCATATTGGTGACTCCAGTTTCTAGCTCCATTGTTTGAGCGTTCCCGTGAGCCTCTTCCATCACTGCTCGGGCAAACTGCTCTCACTCTCTTACTCGGTGAGAGATTTAGGAACCCCATCCGGGTCAGACAGAGGGACAGAGACAAAGAAATAATGTTAAGGAAATAGGAGTAACTTACTGGGGGCGCTCCCGGGCGGACTTTCCGAACCTCAGGTGAGGCAATGGTACACCCGCGCCCTGGGTTAGACTAAGGGGGCTTTGAAGTTGTCTTGGTCTAGTCCTAGTCATCTGTTCGTGGGTCAATGATAAGGAACCTGGAATGAAGCCTGGTGGCTTCCTGTCACCACATGGGTGATAAGTCTTGTCTTCCTCACCTGGGACAAGGTGATCTCTGACTCCAGGAATGTTGCTGTCCACTCAGCCGGTTGCCATTTGGTTTTGGTCACCATTTTGTCAGAGCAAACTTCATATTTGATTCTTGTCAAATTTGGTGATTCCTGACCCATCCATCTTGCCCACCTCCTAAAGTGGGTCTCTCAGAGGTCCTGCCTAGTTTTTCGTTTCTGCCTCTTGTTGCCTTCTTGGTTCCCTCCCCTGAGGCTTGGCAGACAGAATCATTTGCCAGCCCCCCTTAGCTCACCCCGCTGCGGCTGATCCTGACAAACTATCACCTGCAGGTTAATCTTCTGGCGATGCTCAGTGATGAGTTTGTCTGGGATTGTTTCCATTTCTCTCCTGACTCTGAGAGATGTCCATTCTACAGTGAGGCCCTCAGGAGTGGCCAAATCTGACCAAAGTTGGGCCTGACCAGCCTCCAGCTCCCTCCACCATCTTGAATTCAATCTTTCAACTGGCTCAACCCCCCACCCCCCATGACTGATTGGAGTAGAGCAGCGCTCAGTCCTCATTGGAGAAAACACCTTTTCCTCCCTGCTGGGCACTGAGCAGGCCCGGGGCCCATAGATTGGAAAGACAACTAAGGCCAGGGAGTCAGTTTGGTTCTGGACCCTTAGTGACCATGGCATTCTGGACCTTAAGGAGTTTCTCTACCTGGGTGGCCAGTTGAGTTAGAGACCCTCTGCCTGTTCCCAGTCACCAAAGCCCCCATCTGGCCTCTGGGGCACACAGAGCAGCGAGGAGACCAGAATCAGCCCTGGGGGTGGGGTGATGTGTTTTCACCTCTGGGCTGCTCAGGCAAATGAGCAAAGCACAGTTAGCAGGCACATCCCCCCCTGCCCCCCACCCCCACTTCAGAATCCCACCGTCCTGGGTATATTCTCAATGACACCATGCTCATCAAGGGTCACTGTCAATCAAGATGAAACTAGAACCTGGGTCTGCACTTGCTGGGGACCTTTGTCAGGATTCCTGCCCCGCACCCCGCCTCCCCACCCAGACTCTGTCTTCTTCCCCTGCCTGGTCTGTGCGGGCCCCTGCAGAGTTTGCATCTGCTTTGGCAGCCTCAGGCAATCCATGGTGTTTGCTCAGTGCACCAGAGATTCGACCCTGGGGACTCAGCACAACTCCCCATTTCTATTACTGTTAGTATTTGTGACCAAAGAGACCAGGGCTAGTCTAGGTACTGGCAGCAGTGCCGTTGGGGCAGACCCTCAGTGCCCGAGCGTTTCCTGCCCTGCTCACACCCAGCATGCCTCCAGCTCTCCCTGCCAGAAGACCCACGGTTCTACAGTTGAACACGGTGACAAGTTGCTGATGCAGATGTTTCTGTTTCCTCACCTCCTTTATGTTAAACGTTTACAGCAATGGTGAAATTTGCTTCTCATAAATGTGGCCTGTCATCTTGCATAAGCTCAGCAAGAGAATTATAGATTCCTTTAATCTGTCACTTCAAATTGAGTTCAATGGCTCCTGTAAAGTCAGGCATGAAAGGTCAGATCTGTTGGCTTTTCCTGGGCACATGTCATCTGCTCCTACTCCCCAGACTCCACTCCTGGGGCCAGTTTTATTTTGCCTATCCCAGGCCCAAGGGGTCCTTGACCATTCTTTTGGCCAGAGACTGTCCCATGCTGTACTCTGGATCATATCACATGTGGAACCTTAGGCCTTCCCTTTTCCAAATCATGGTCGCCTGGCGCCTGTCCGAGGTCCATCCAAGGTCCTCCACGTGATGCACATTTGGGAATGATTGAATCAAGGACAATCACTGGGAAACTGAAGCTTTAGTAAGATGAATGTCCAGGATGAGATCAGAACCCACCTGTGACTGCATCAAGCATCAAGCCGTGTCCGTGTAGGGGTCTCTTTGCCAGGAGCCCAAGAGCATACCAAGGCCATCAAGGAGAGAAAAACTGACATTTCCCTGATAGTCTGGTCTGGGAAATGACGCCCTTCGGTCTACATAGTTTCACACCAGAAAATTCCCAACATCCTCACTGAGCCACATGCCGAAAACCAAAGGAAACATATGGGCTTTACCTGGAACTTGGGAGTCAACATCCTAGACCAATCAATGCCTCAACCCCACATAAAAAGATCAATTTCAGAGTCAGTTTAGCGGGGACCGCACATTGTAAATGCAACAGAGAAATAGTCACAGGCTAGGAAACAGCAGAGACCCAGTGAGGCCCGCGTGGGATCCTCACACTTCCGCACTGCGCTGACAGGCAGCTCCTGGGACACGGCCAGGGCGAGGCTGACTGCTCAGTGGGATACCAAGCAGGTCCCCTCTTCTGCCAACACTCTCTGGGACCCCTGTGTCTTCCTGAGTGTGGTGAGTCTAGGGCATGATACCTGCCGCTGTGAGAGCCCTGGGGTTCAGGGACCTTGCAAAAGGGTCCGTTCCTGGGGCGGGGAGGGGGCACTTGGAGGGCTTCGTCCTTCCAGTCCTCACCCAACACTAGACCACAGTTGGAAATTTTGTGCCTGAGCCTCCACAGTCACAGGAGACTGCCCATGGACAGTCATAGATGTCATCCTGCACTTCCTGAAAGACACGGTGGGAGGGGGTGCGAACTCTTCTCAGGGCAGAAAGGTGGCAGCGTGCATGATCTGTCCAGCTGCAAAAGTTTGATGGGGTTTTATATAACAGTCCACGATATTGTGCCATCCAGGCATTTGGTAGCCACTCATGCCCACTGAAACTCATTGCTGTCACCGCTGAATGGGGAAGCTTGGGGTGAATTGTTTTCAGCCTGACCAGCAGGACAGCAGCAGCTGGAGGTCAGAGGCACAGTGACCATTCACAGGCCTCAGAGAGAGATCTTTGTCCCCAGTCTGTGCCAGGAGCCCAAGTGTCTCTTTCAGGACTCCTGGAGCCTGGGGCCCTTTCTCAGGAACAAAGAGGTTCAACTCCTTCCTCTTCCCCAAAGTCCAAATTTGTTTTTTTTTTTTTTGGTCGTTGTTGTGGAATTAATTTTTTTTAAATTTTTGTTAGTGAAACACCATGAGGTACCTTTGTAGAGTTACAAATTTTTGTGCTGGGTTTCAGTTATACATTGAGCGAACACCCATCCCTCCACCAGTGCCCATTCTCCACCACCACTGATCCCAGTATCCCTCCCACCCCCCATCTCCCCCATCCCACCCTGCCTCTGTGGCAGGGCATTCCCTCTTGGTCTCTCTCTCCTTTTGGGTGCTGTGGTTTGCAAAAGAGGCATTGAGTGGCAATCATGTTCGGTCTATAGTCTACTTTCAGCATGCATCTCCCATCCTGGGAGGATCCTCCCAACACCCTTTATTTGGTGCTCCCTTCTCTATCTGAGCTGCCTTTTCCCCTAACGTGTGTGGCTGGTACCTAAACCTCCTGGTACCTATCTCAGCTATTCTTGGGTGTTAGTCTCCTATTTTGTACTTTATGTTCCCCAGATGAATGCAATCTTTCTATGTCTGTCCCTTTCTTTCTGTGGAGTCCAATTTTGAGGCTGAATTCAGTGCTGTTTGGTTGTTGTGGGAAGAGGGGGATTTTGGGGGGGTACACTGGTGAGTCCTTATTTCTAAATGTGCTTTCTTCCAAGAGTAGGAGTAGAGACGTGCATCAGGCCCTTGGGTTTCTGCTGCCAGGACTGCATCCTCAATGCACTGCAGGACAGGACACTATAGGGCTGCCCAGGGAATCTTTCTGAGTCCATAGCCAGGACCTCCCTGAACAAGGGAGCTGCATTCTTGCACCTGGAGAAAACGGTCCACAGTGACCAAGCTTCCCTGCCTGTCTCTAGATCTGCCCATTTCAAGGCAAACAGGGCTTGGTTCCTTCCTGGTGTAGTTTACAAACAGAAAAACACATCTTTGGGGTCCAGGCAGGTAAAGCGTTGGGCTGGAGGAGGGTAGCAGACCCAGTGAGTGGAAGGCCTGGGGAGCACATTGGGCCAGCGGTCATGGCCACGCTGACCACTGCAAGAACGAGAAGGTTCTAGGTTTAGCCTCAGCTCCCAGCCCTTAGCTCTGCCCTGCCACCTGTGCCTTGCTCAAGGGGCTGCCTGTTCACTCTTCCTCCTGCACACACCTCACACACCTGATGCTCACACTCTCAATGCACCCTGACACCTCACCTAGTCTCCTGAGCCCTCCAAGAGAGATAGATCCCTGAGTTCAGAGGCAGGAGCAACCACTGAGCACTGCTGAGTGTGCCCCAGAAATTAAAAAAAAAATAACAGCAACAAAAATAATCATTCATTTGGAGACAACAACAACAACAACAAAATCATTCATTCTGGAGAAGAGCAACATGGAGGAAAAAAAAAAGAGACAGTAGGGTGCCCTGAGTCCATGCTGTCAACACAGCCCCCATCTGGGTGGGGTGTCCTTTGGAAAAGGGGTTTGTAGAGAATGTGAAGGGGAACCCTGGAAGCCTCTTCTGCACGGGAAGGAACCCGGGGGCATGCTCTCCCCCAGACACGCCTCTTCCATGCCTCCACACTGGTCACCTCTCTTCCTCTGAAGGGAGGGCTTGGTCGAGTTAGTGAATGTCAGAGCCCACTTTTTGCTTGCCAGCTGGGGTTGAGGCTCAGGAATTCTCTGAACTGAGCGTCCTCCCCAGCTCTCCCAAACCCCTTCGGTGGGGTTTTTTATCCCAAGCCTGAAGGGTCTGGTGGAGAAACGTGGAGAAAAGCAAAACTGGCAGATCTGCGACTGCGGGGGGGGGGGGGGGGGGGGGGGGGTAGGGCTGAATTCCAAGGGTAAAGCCGTTCCACCCCTCTAAGGCTGGATTTTCCAGCCTGCCGGGGAAATGGGCTGGTGAGGCCGGTGGAAGGTCCCATGTGAGCCTGTGAGCCCTATTTGGACAATGGGAGGTGGGGGGGAGGGGTTGGGGAGGGAGGCATGGAGGCTGCCCAGTGAGGGGCTGGGGGTGCTTGCTGGCCCCTCTGCGGAAGAGCGCATACAATGCAGACATTGATGTGTTCCAGTGAGCTGGGCACATCCAGAGACCCCTGGCCTCGAGAGCATGGGGCAGTGCATGAAAACTCGGAAGAAATGCAGCAGGAGCTGCAGCTGGGTGGGGTGCACCTTCCTGGGTGGGGGAGGTGCTGCTGGGGGCGGGGCCAGAGAAGAAGCAAGACAGGCCCCGCCCAAAGGCAGGGGGCCATGAGGCCAGGGTCTCTGTGACACGGAGGGCCCGGCCAGATGGGCTGGGGAAGGGCCCTGGGATGAGACCTGGGTCTGGCTCACCTGAACCCCTCCGAGTTTTAAATTTTTCCTTCACTGACTTCAGGGTCGGCTTTTCCCTTCCTTCACCATCGCCTCCAGCTGCAGTCTTCGTGGTCTCACACACCTCCAGCATCTCCCTCTCCACCCCAGTGTGTTTTTCCTCTTGATGGGTTGTCAGGCGGCCGCTGGGTCTCAGCCAACCGCGGAGGGTGCAGTGACCAGGGGTGGGGCCCGCCTGGCCCCGCCTCCCAGGCAGCCCCACCCCCTGACTCCCAAACCTGGTTTCTCCCTCCTAGGAACCCCAACCCTCACGGTTTTCCAGGGCTCCTGTGTGAATTCAGCAGGGCCTGAGACAGGAAGTCCCGGACCTAGGGCCCCTGTAGGTGAAGGTACTAGGGGAGGAGGCAGGGAGGCTGCGGGACTCCCTGTTCCGGTGCCCCTCTTACCCCTGGGCCTCCCCGCCCTCTCCACTGTCTGCCTCTACCTGGGCCTGCTCCGTTGACAGCTGCTGCAGCAGCTGGACCAGGAGCAGCTTCTCCTGCAGAACCGCCTGGTGCAGCTGCTCAGCCTTGGAACCCAGGTGACGGTGGGCATGCACATCCTGTTGGATTGCAGTTGTCTGCTGCATTGTATCGTCCTGCACCTGGGGGCAGGACATTGGCAGTGAGGACAGGCGCGAGGACCGTCCAGATCCCAGCCAGGAGATGCAGGGCTCAGTTTCTTACTCCCGGGTCCAATGCCTAGACCGCACCTGCCTAGACATGGGATCTCTCCCTGCCTCCATCCCTTATCCTACCCCACAGCCTCCCACCGCCAGGACCTCTCTCTGTGCAGTGTGGGCCAGTCCGCACCCCCACAACCCTTCAGTGGCTGGCATCCTGGCCTGTCCTACCTCCCAAGAACTCAACGCGGGCTCTTGACCTTACCAGCCCATTTCACAGACCAGGAAAGTCACAGCCCAGAAGGCTGCAATGTCATGCCCCAAGAATAGCCTTGGGTGGAGGGGAGCTGATGGCCGGCAGACCCCTGTACCCTCTCACGAAACTCTTGGTGTTCGGCAGCTGTTTGTGGGCTCGCAGTGAAGATGCGGGAAATATTGCCCAGTGTTGCTGAGACACAGATCGAGCCTTGCCCGACTCAGGCCACCCTGCAGCCCTCAGACTGCAGGAGGCGCTGTACCCGGCTCCTGTCGCCCCAGCTCAGTCCCCTCAGCCCCCACTCGCATCTGCAGTTGTTCTCTAAGCCCACCCGTTGTTCCTGGAACCTCTTGGCCCCCAAATCGACTTGATGTTTCATAAGCAGGACCTCAGGTGACTGAGTTGTGGGTGCCCCAGGGTCGGTGCACCTGAGAGGGAGCAGACAGTCAAGGACCCCAGACCCTCAGCCCCACCCAAACTTCATGGTCCACAGCCCCGACTCTTGGTTCCTCCTGCTCTTCTCAGGGTCAGCTCATTCCTCACTGCTCTCTGCTGCTCTGGGCCCCTTACAAAGTGGATTCTTTCCTGGTTTGGACCCACTGGAGCCCTCCTGGCAGTGCTGGAAGGGATACTAGGGACAACTAGAAACAAGCGTTCTATGTCCTGGCCCTAAATCTCTCTGCATTTCTGTGCTCATAACATTCTGGGGAGTGGACAGCCGACCCCGATCTCTCCAGCTGCCCCACATAGGGGGACCCTGAGGTGCAGAGGGTGGGTGAGGTTCTCTCAGCTGCTGCTCCCGGCCTGTCTCTTCATATTTCCCCATGCCTCATTCACAGGGCGCTTCCCTGGATACTCTAAGCCAGCCCTTTCTGCCTTGCCCCTCCCCATATCTATCAGACTTGAAACCATGATCCCATGACCCCAACCCCCAAACTCACTAACCCAAACAAGTATGAGGCTCTCCCGTGCAGCATTCTGGTTTTTTTTTTTTTTTGTTTTGTTTTGTTTTGTTTCTTTTTGGGTCACACCCGGTTGAGGCACAGGGATTACTCCTGGCTCATGCACTCAGAAATTATTCCTGGCAGTGCTCAGGGGACCATATGGGATGCTGGGAATTGAACCCGGGTCGGCCACATGCAAGGCATATGCCCTACCCTCTGTGCTATCGCTCCAGCCCCACATTCTGATTTTTTAAAAATATATGGGGCTGGAGTGATAGCACAGCAGGGAGGGTGTTTGCTTTGCACGCAGCCAACCCGGGTTCGATTCCCAGTATCCCATATGGTCCCCCGAGCACCACCAGGAGTAATTCCTGAGGGTATGAGCCAGGAGTAACCCTGTGCACCGCCGGGTGTGACCCAAAAAGCAAAATATATATATATATATATGATGTTTTAAAATATATATATGTATGTTTGTAAAATTCTTCTCTTTCAGCTTGTTGGTCTGTCCCAAACATGGGGCAGGGCGTGATGTGAATGGTAGGACAGCTGGGGCGGGGTCTGAGACCCGAGAGTCCTGCTTTGAATCCACAGCTGCACAGACAGAGTTCCGAGCAGGGTCAGGCTTCAATCCTGAGCACAGAGCCAGGAAAAGCACCTGAGTACTGCTGCCTGTGGCCCAGCGCCGTGCCCAGTTACCAATAATAGAACACCACGGGAGTGGACACGTGGAGGCAGTCATGGCCAGGGCACCACCTGCACTTCCTGCACCCACCACTGTCTCTGCTGGCACAGCACATTTGTGGGGGGCACGTGCCCCACAGGTCAAAATTCACCTCCTGGCAGGGGTGACTTGCTCTTCATTTCCATATATAAGTTTGAGGTCCACCTGCTTCTTTTTCATTGTTCTCACAACTTTAAGTTTTTCCATTTCCATATTGAAAGCAAGTGATATTAGTTTGTGATTTATGATACCCCTACAAAGTTCCTCTTTAATCTAAAGGCAATATCATCTAAAAACAGAAATTAGGTAATGACATGTTGAATGACCCTCAAAGCAGGACACGTTTGAACCACTGCTCTGCTCACCATGGACTGTCTCTAAACTCAAATCTGGCTCCCAATGTCTCTGCTCCTGAAATGATCCCAAAGCCTCAGCTAAGCTCCGGATTTTACTGCAGATAATGTACTACACATGTCCTTTGAAAACTTCAAATATAAGCCATTCATTTTTTAAAAATGTATTTTCATAAAATCACTGTGGCTAGACCTTTACAAAGCTGTTCATAATTAGATTTCAGTCATACTTTGTTCCAACACCCATCCGTCCACCAGTGCACATTTCGCAGCACCAGTGTCCTCAGTTTCCCTCCCTTCAACACCCTCCCCCACCCAGCCAACCCAGGCCCTCGTCTATGGTAAGACACTTTTCTTCTCTCTCTCTGTCTCCCTTTTTGCAGTTTACAATACAGATACTGAAAGGGTATCAGGAATATCTCTTTATCTACTTTTAACACTCGAGGATTTCAAGTTCGGACAGAAATAGAATTGCTATTTCAGGCAGTTTTGCTGAGAGAAGAACTGGGAATGGTCTCTGCTATGGACAACCAGGGATCTGCAGATCTACAGTGACTGACCACAGCCTGGGCCCTGGTCTGAGTGTCCAGGCAGGTCCTGAAGATCGGGAGGTCTTCCAACCCTGAATAGGGATGGGATTAACTCCTGCCTGCCAGGACATTCCTACATAAAATGAAGGCCCGAGGCCACCTGGGCTCACTAAACTGGCCTGGTTTCACATCTTCACAATGGCCACAATGGGTAACCATGACTTGACAGGTAAAATATTCATAGTGTTATAAGTGTGTCACCACAACCTTTGAAAAACAGGGTGGAGGTCTGTTGGGATTTGGGGGATTGGAAACTGTCCTGAGATGCCAATACTTCTCCTGAGCTGCCGCCAGTCAGGGCTGGCACCTGCCCAGCACTCCCCTCCCCATGCCCCTCCAGCCTCCCAGAGACTCCCTGATCCCGAGTAGGTGAGAGACAGGCAAAGCCTAAGGTGGCAAAATGGGCTGTTTCCTACCTGGCAAAGCTGCCGGGCGTTCTGCCGGGACCAGGCGGCTGGGTATGAAAAAAGACCCGCCCAACCGCAGGTGAAAGAGGCTCACATGGCAGTGGCAGGCAGAGCGCTGAGGTACCAGTCAGCTTCTCATGGCATAGAAATGGGGATAGGAGACAGACCGAAGGAACTTCCCTACTGGCAAGTTGTGACTGACAAGTATAGGCAGTTAGAGGCCATTACAAGTTAGGGTTTGCAGTCAGTTCTTTCAGCCCACGTTCTCTTTCAAACATGTCCTCCCTTCACATCTTACCAAGTAAGTTTCTTTCAGGAAAAACTCTCTTGCAGGATTGGACAGGTAGTCCAGAGGGTAGGGCATTTGCCTTGTACACAGACGACCCGGATGTGACCCGGAGTCCCGGGCAACTCAAATGTTCCCCTAAACCCCACCAGGAGTCATACAAATACAGAGCCAGGAGTGAAGCCTGAGCACCACTGGGTGTGTCCCTTCAAAATAGTCCAAGAATAACAAAAAGAGGAGGGGAAGTGGGAGGTGGGGTTGGTGCTAATTGACACGTGACTTCTTGGTACTCGCTAGAATATTTGTGAATTTTATACGCACCATTGTAAACCGTGTATTCCTTTTGGGATGCAGTACAGAAAAACAACAGTCAGTTAAAAATTTTATTTTGAAAAATATAAGAGCGGCCGAGAGATAGTACAGTGGGAAGGGCATTTGTGCTATCTGGATTCGATATCTGGCATCCCATAGAATGCCCCTGGAGCATGGCCAGGACTGATCCCTGAGTCAGAAACAGGAGTGAACCCTGAGCACCGCTGGATGTGGCCCCCAAACCAAATAGACAAGCAAGCAAGGAAATGTAATACATCAAAATCTAGCATACAGGTGGTAAGGTGTCTGCTTTGTGTTATTCTAATCTGGGGTGATTCATGGTACCTCATATGAACCCTTGAGCACCACTAGGGGTGATCCCTGAGCACAGAGCTTCAAAACTAACATAGAAGCTGGGAAATGGTATAGTGCAAAGAGTGCACGCCTAGCATGGCTAGTGGTTCAGTTATTTGGGTTTTGTGTTTGATTTTGATTTTTGCTTTGATTTGCTTTGGTTTGGAGGCCACAGCCAGTTGTGCTCATGGCTTACTCCTAGCTCTGCACCCATGGCTCTGCAGACATGGAGGGCTCAGGGGACACCAGGGCATGCCAGGGGTCCAACCCAGGTCACCACGTTGCGTGATATGGCAGGGTGAATTGGACCCTTTCGGCTGTTGAGACCACCCAGTGTTTCCCGCCCCTCACACTCTGCTCCTAGTCTGTCTCTCAGAGAAGCAGATAGAGAGTTCTGCTGGCATGTTAGATCATGGCCAATTACTATAAAGTCAAGGCAGTGGACATGACCATTTTCAACATCCCTAGTCTGAGGTAGACAATTCCCATTCGCTTCTCAGCCTATGGGAATTCTGGCTGGCGTCCCTTCAGCAGGCCTGAGAGAGAGATGGAACTGATGGCTTAGCCTGGCTTAACCTCCTCTCCTTCTGGCAGGGAGCAGGACCCAGGTGGACAGGCCCCTGGTGAGTGTGAGAGCAGGGAGGGGGCCAGAACACTCCCCTTTTTCAGGCCCCAGCCATGCCAATACCTCTGGCAGGTTAGAATCATCAGGCACTTTGTCTAAAAATAACTTGATAGAGGAAACTTCATCAATAGTGAGTTCTGGGTGTTCATCCGCCCCTTTCTAAGGAGACCAAGTCTAATGGGTTGAAATCTTTGAAATTTGAGAATCAGAGGGAGGAGTCATTTAAGTTCAAGAGCACTTAAGTGTTAGTCATTTAGAGTGTAGATGTAAGGCTCTGAGGTGTGAGAAACTTCTCAGTTTTTATTTTAGTTTCCTATTCCATAAAGGCTCATACAGAACTCTAATCATGGCATTCACTAATGCCCACTGTTTCAGAACCTTGTATACATTGTCCTTTGCCCTCTTAATCAAGGGTGTTAGCTTTGTATTCATTTTGTTTCATTTTCCCACTTACCATGTTAATGTGGGGGCTTCCCTGATCATTAGCTCTTAACACCATTCAGGTCCCTATTCAGGTGCCACTTTGTCACCATCCCATGGTGACACAGTACCTGGGAGGGATGGACTATTCGAACATGGTCTAAGGCTGATAGTTCATAGACACGGACGCGGACTATTGACGGGAAAGCAATGGATCAGGCGAATGACTGGTGGTTCATCGACAAGTTTATTCAGGACAATCAGTGAATAAAGGCAAAAGCAGGAATGTGATAAAGGTAGATGGAATGGAAAAAGGTTTGGCAGTAACAGATAGATTCAGGTGGACACAGACTCTGCATCTCCAATCTCCCCGAAACAGAAACAAAGCTTAATCTCCTTCAAGGTTTCTAAAGGCAGCCATGAAGGTTTCAGGCAAGACACATCCCTGAGCCCAGCCAAAGGGGAATTACTAATCTGAACCATTCCAAGAGGAGCTATAGGACCACTGGTGACAGTCAGCTGCCATTGTCTGGACTTTGAATCTGAAACCATTGCTATTGTCTGGACTTAGTTCCAGCAGCCATTGCCTCTAGGAACCCTGGAGTGATCACACGGGTTACTCAGTTCAGGGATGTGCCCCAGGACTGCAATAAGTGGGGATAAAGCATTTTTTTTACTGTGGTTGAAATTGGTGTTTCCCTACTGATGAGTAGTGTTGAGCCTCTTTACATGCTTCTAATAGCCATTTGTCTATCTTCTTTGACTAAATTTCTACTTAAATATTTTCCCCATTGTGGGGGGCCATATTCAGTGGATCATGGGCTCTACTCTGGGCTCCGTGCTTGTGGTCAGTCCTGGGGTGCACGAGGGCTCACTACTGGTGACCTTGAGTCCTAGGAGTCACTCCTGATAGAGCTCAGGGGACCACGCGGTTTTGGGGATCCAGGTGGAGTTAGACACGTGCAAGGCCTGTACTACCTCTCTGGCCCCATTTATTTTATTATTTTTTAGTTCTATAAAGACTAGTACTGGAACTCAGTCTGCGTTTATTTGTTTGAGCGGCCCTCCTCCCATGGTGCTGGGGTGATCACGCAGTGCAGAAGATTGAATATAAGCTCCAACCCATGCCTCCCCCCCCACAGTGACCCAGTTTACTGTGGAACAATCATTGTGAACACCCACAATCACAAGATGTGGTCCACACCTCTGCCTGGTGTGGACTCTTTGATGAACAGAAAATGCAGCTCATAGGAATAGAGAAGACAATAAGAGCAAAGTGCTTGGATGGGGCTCCCTGGCCATCCCAAGGCCCTGCAAATGGGCCACCATGGACAGAGTGTTGTCCAGAAGCTGCAGGATGAACTCCAGACCCCACTTCTAGGTCCAAGATTCCTGGTTCTCCAGGATGGGGACACCCAGGGGCTTCCGCTTCGGCCCCGGGAGCAAGACCCTGGGTGCTTGTGCAGGGGACAGATTGCCCAGGTGCTGCCAGCCTTGGACCTGGGAGTCAGTGCTGACCTCCACATCCCTGGGCCCAGAGCAGGACGCCCCAGCTGCCTGTCCTCACTTTCACCATTGTGCCCACAGGTGGGATTGCAGGACAAACAGGTGAGTGTTGGCGGCAGCAACGGGACAACTATCCCCTATTTCCTGCAATGGTAGGTGGCCTCTGACCAGTATCAGTCTCTGAGAATGAGCGACTTGACCAGCAGGTGCTACTGCAAAGTCAGCTCCTGGATCGACTGCAGCGAGAATGAATCAGGACATGGTGAATAAGGAGAAATGACAGGAGGAGCTGTGAAAGACCCACTGTGAGGCCAAGAGCCCGCCTTGGGTGAGGGGAGGAAGGACAGGGCAGGACGCCACCCACTGCGGGGTGGGAGGGGCTGTGAACTGGCCCTAACTGTATAGAGAGGGTCCTCGTAGATGGGAGTATGCCAGGTAGGATTAAGGGCTCAAGGCAGAGGGAGGCCCTATCTCTTAGGCCTTGGGAGAAAGACCCCATGGGGGTCTGTGTGTGGGGGGAGTGTCGGAGCCCTGCATCTTCTGGCTGGGATCTGGTCGGCCCTCCTGCCTGTCCTCATAGCCAAGGTCCTACCCACAGATGCAGGTGCAGGACGAGACGGTGCAATGCCCGCGGCCTTATTGCTTAGCTTCTGCTGCTTCCTAGAGCATCACAAACTGTACCTGGATGCCAGCAATTACCTGTGTTCCAAGGTGGAGCAGCTGCACAAGCTGGTGCTTTAGCAGAAGCAGTTCATGAACCAGCTGCAGCAGGTGCTAACAAGGCAGCAGGCCCTGCTGGAGGCAGCCTTCAGGGGGCCGAGGGAGACCCAAGTGAGATAGGGGTCACAGGCTCCCAGACACAAAGGGGGCAGCTGACTCCCACCCTGCCGGCTCACCTAGTACCTTCACCTTCAAGGGTTCCTCAGTCAGACATAACAGGAGAAAAGCAGCTCCAGGCCCTCTGGAATCATAAGGATACCCCGAGAAAAGTGAGTGACAGGTTCCTCAGGTGGGAGACCACCCCCCCGCCATGGAGGTCAGGAGGCAGGGCTGCAGAGGAAGCAGAGCTTCCTCTTGGTGAGGCCTGTTGACCTCCCTTGGTTGTCTGAGACCTTGGACACATGCTTCCAAAGTACGTCCTGTGCCAGAAGCATGGAGGAGGAGCCCTTCAGCCTTCGAACATAGTGGAGGTTTGTGAGACCCTGAAGTCTGTTTAGCTGGAGGCTACGTACGAGGAGACCGGCTGGAGGAGTGTGAGAAGACTTTGGAGCTGGAGGTTGCGGTCCATATCTAGGCTTGCCGGACAGTAGAGTGTGTGAGGATCCCAAGAGACTCTATTTCTGTCTGAGGAACAGGAGGCCACAGACCCTTGACCTGGGACCCAGAGAGACCCGACTACAAATCACACAAATCCAGCTCGTAAGCACAAGTTCACCTGACAACCTTATTCACCATTAATCCCCTTATTTTGCTGCACACATGAACTCTACCCTCTCCGAATCCAACTAATTCAACCCCACCCGTCCTTCCCTACCTGCTCCTTCCCACCCTCTTCCCTCCTCCCTTCTCCTTCCACCCAACCCCCCACTGCACTCAGTACTAGACACCAGGGTGTGGGGGGGAGCAGATCCCCTAAAGACACAAGATTTTATTAGGTGGGCAGAAATGACCGCCACCTAAAGACACAAGAGATCAGGGAGGCAGAAACTCCCCCATCACCAGACCACATGGATTAGGGGGACAGAATTATCCCACACCACTAGACTTGAGTTGTGGGGGACAGAAATGTCCCCCACCACTAGAACCCAGGGATCAGTGGAACAGAGCTGTCCCCCACTACTGGATCCCAAGGATTAGGGGGACAAACATCTTCCACTACTAGAAACCTGGAATGTGTGGAGAGGGGATGCAGAAATGAAAACTGGGCCAACTCAAATCCCAGTCCTAATGATTTCTAATGATTCAGTCCTAATAACTTTTTTGGGGGGGTAGGGGGGAACTCCCTGTGGCCTGACTCTGCCTTCCACCATGTAACGGCCTCCTCGCCTACCCTCTAGTTCACAGACCCAACAGGGCAACATGGCAGCGACCCCCAGGCTGCTGAAAAGCTGCGTGCAAAAGAAGAATTGAGAAACATGAGGTGTGGGAGAGGGAGAGATGGGGATACCAGAGGCACCCCTGTGTGAAGTGAGGGATGCGAGAGACCCAATTCTCTGAGCTCAACAATAGTCGAGACAGGCGCAGGCTGAGACAGACAATTCTAAGAAGCAGGTGGATGTTCAAACTGATAGGTGGAAGGAAAGAGTGAGATATTCCTTCCAGGAGGTTCCTTGCGGGAACACGTCCCCCCCACCTCCAGATTCAGGGATTGTGCAGGGGGCATGGTGCCATGGCCATGCCCACGCAACGTGTCCAATCCCATGGTGTTCTTTTATTGGGGGGCAGGGCGTTGAGCCAGAGCTCCTGTGGTCAGGAGCTTCTCCTGGCTCCGTACTCAGGAGTGAGGCCCGGCAAGAGCTCAGGGCTTCCCTTGTGGTGCTGGGAAATCAAAGCAGGGTCCCTGAATGCCTAAACCACTCTCCAGCTGTCCTACCATTTCAAGAGGCCAGTCTCAGAGAAACAAGCTGGAGACAGGAATTAAAACAACATAAAACCTATTTTTAAAAATATGGAAGCCCACATTGCAGAGCTTCATGTATGATTGGATGAGTGAGTGTGGGGGCTGGAGTCACGAGATCAGAGCTTTCAAGTCTATGACGTAGAGGGTGGGCAAGGCAGAGGGGTGGCTTAGAGTGTCCAGGGAGAGGCCCTGTGAACGGGGCATTGTGAATGGGGAGACAGGCTGGGAGCAGGAGCTGGGCGAGTCTCCCTGACCCTCTGCACCTCGGTGTCCCCCTGCGTGGGGCAGCAGGTGGGGATCCACTCCTCCAGAATGTCATGAGCATGAACGTGAAGAGAAAAGTAGGGCCCGGGTCTGGAACCCTCCTTTCTGCCCTGTCCTGGTGCCCCCTTCCAGCAGTGCCAGGCGGGCACAAATGGTTCCAAACAAGAAAAGAATTGATTTTGTGAGGAACCCAAAGCAGCAGAAGGCTGTGAGAGATGAGCAGCCCCCCAAGATGAGCAGGAGGAACCCCAAGTCCGAGGATGGGGGCCCAGGAAGTTGGTGGTGGGGTGAAGGCTCTGGGGGCCTTGACTGTCTACCCTCTCTCAGGTGCATTAGCCCCGTGGTGCCCCCAGCTCTTCCATCTGGGCTACGGAATATGAAAGAACAGCTACAGTGGAGGTCAGGAAGTTTCCACCAGATCCAGGCAAGATGCAGGTTCGTCTGAGGTACGAGGACACTGACCTGAGTCTACAGGAGCAGGGGCAGCATCCCCGGAGGGGGCTGTGGTGTGGGGTGAGCAGGGCTAGGTTCAGAGCTGCATCTTAGACGGAATGGAACATGAGTCGGGAACCGTTCCCACGCCCTTTGCCCACCCCATGAGCCCTCCAGCAGCTGGCTGAGCTCTGGGGCAGATTGTTGAGACTGGGGCACGGCCCTTCTGGAAAGCCTGCTACCCTCCGCCCGAAGCCTTTCTTGGCGTGAGAGGCTTCTGATGTTTGGGTCTGGACTTTCCTGTCCAGAAGTTCCCCTGGGAGGACAAGAGACCTACTTGGATTATGGGGCCGGGGGAAAGGACAGGGCAGGAGGCCTCCCAGTGATGTTGACTGGCCCATCCTGCTCCAAATGGTTCTGAGGATGTGGGTGGCAGCAGGGAAAGAGACAAGGGCTAGTTGCCCGGGGAGGCCCCATGTCTTAGGCCCCGGGAGCAAGAACATCAGGGCTGGTTGCACCAGGTGCTGCCTACCTGGGCCTGGGAGTCTGAGCCTGCCTCTCCTGGCAGGGATTGGGCGACAGGCACTCCCAGGGTTGTCACAGGTGCAGGCGCAGTGCACCTGCAGCGACAGCTCCTTCCTGCAGCACTGGGCCACCGCCCAACAGCACCTGGGCTCTGGGAAGGAGCAGCTGCCTCACAAGAAAGATGAAGAAAAGGAAGATTTAGAGACAACAAGGCATGGGCTGATGGGGACGCGGGTGAGAAGGGCCGTGGGCTCTGGGCAGGAAGGCGGCAGCCGGCTCCTCCTGCTCCTCACCTACTCTCTTCACCTTCAGGGGTTGCTCAGTCAGCCCTGCAAGAGAACTGGAAGCGGCAGTTCTCCACCCCTGAAATGGCAGAGACCCTGAAAAGGGTGAGTAGCAGGGTCCCAGGAGGGAGAAGCCACCTACGGGGGTCAGGAGGCAGGGCTACGGGGGAGGTGGAGCCAGGTGGGCCCTGCCCCATGCCACTTCACCTCCCCTTGGTTGGCTAAGACCACAGGGCTGCTCCACAGCCCAACAGAACCAGGATGTCAATCATGGGAAATAGACCATGAAGACTGAAGAAGATCAATCAGACTGTGATGCCCTTGAGATAAGGAGGCTGGTGCAATGGTGAAGGAAGAGGAAGGGAGCACCGAGTCAAAGGAACAAAAAGTAAAAACCCTGAGTCTGGCATGCAAACGGATCACCCAAGAGGCCATGGTAAGCATGACACCTGCTCGGAGACCCCTGTGGCTGCCCCTCCTAACGCTTGGTCTCCCTCCTCAGCGTTCTCTCAACCCCCAATATCCCGCTCGGGAACCAATGGACAGCCACACCTTCCTTGGAACCCCAAGTGTCCTGTGACAGTCAGAAGGGACTTCCTAAAGACACCTTCATGCACACCCCATCCTCCCTGTTACCCAGAGATGGAAATCACACCTAGATCAAAGGGCAATGTGAGCCAATACAAAGAAAACCTGTGTCGGCAGAAGATCAATCAGACTGTGATGCCCATGAGATAAGGAACCCGCAGACACCCGGCCCAGGGCCCCAAGTGACCTGCCAGGAAATCATGTTGTCCCCTAGCATCAGCAATGGTTAAACTGGGATTCTTACTGACCTGGAATTCCATTTTTCATCAACCCTGTCAAAATCTTATTCAGCTACCCCAACCCTGTCCTTCCTCCCCCTTCCTTCCCGCCCTTCTTCTCTCCACCCTCCTCCTTCCCGCCCCCTCCCTTCTCCCCTCCTTTGTCCCTCCCCAGTGAGGAAGGACACATATTATGATAAGGGGCTAAACAAAGCAGTTGCAGACTCGCCCCCATGGTAGGGATGCTGCGTGCTAGGAGTAGCTAGATGACCCAAACAGAGTAACATTGAGCCTCAGACCCTGCATGTAAACAAGGCAGACATCCTCCAACACATCCATATGTGCAGGAAGAAACTGAAATCATAAATCGTAATAATAATAGTAGTAAATCCAAAGAAAAGAATTTAAACATCCAAAGTTTCTCCAAAATTGGGACTCATGGGTCTCCCTGAAGTTAGTCAAACCCCCACCGCACTTGGCAGCAGGGGAGTACTTTTCCCAAAGAAAAAAGATGGAAGTGAGAGAGGAACACCAATGGGCACCGTAGAGCATTGCGATGGTCTTGCCCACAAACACAAATGGTTCTATCAAATGCCCATCATCAGCTTAGGAAGAAGGAACATGTGTGCCGCGATGGACACATGATCACTGGAAGGGGCAGGAATGAGCCTCCCATAATACCCCAGGCATTTGGGAGATACTGTCACCTACAACAGACTCTGTGGAGTTGCAGGGGGCTAGAATGTCGCCAACCTAGGCACTTTGTTTTGGGGGACAGACACACCCCCATTGAAGGCATCTCAAACAAGTGACAGACATAGCCCCCATTGTAGACACCTGCCCTGGGGGACAGAGCTGTCCCCTAGTGTAGGCAACGTGCTCTGAGGGACAGAGATGTCCCTAGTGTAGCACCTCAATCTGGAGTACATACACGAACCTCAATGTATGTACTTGGTTCAGGGATCACGCCTGGTGATTTTTTCTGGGAACCAAATGAGGTGCCAGGGACCAGGGCAGGGTGGCCACCTGCCAGGCAAGCACCCTGCCCTCTGCACGAGCTCTCTGGTTCCTGTTTACTTTTGACCCCCACCTGGAGGTGCTTGGGGTCTACCCCTGACTCAGTGCTGGGGGTTCCCTGATGTGCTGGGACTCAGACCTGGGCCTCCTGTATGTGCTCTTGACCATTGAGCTATCTCTTCAACCCAGAGTATGTCTGTGTGTGTGAGTGTGTGTGTGTGTGTGTGTGTGTGTGTGTATGTGTGTGGTGCCAGAAATGGGTCATGTATGATGCATGTGTGTGTTATCTCATCTCATCCCAGCCCCGTCTCTTGGCTTTGCGTGCGTGTCTACCTTAGCCAGTCTTCCTCAATCTGTCCCATTGAAGAAGTGCTGCGTGTCCAGGGATGCCCACAGGGCCGGGGGTTTGGGGCTCCTGTCATGTCCTAGGTGCTTCATGACCATCGAGGTGCACTGGGTCTCCCCAGGCTGGAGCTGGGCAACGGGGAACCCTGTGTGTGTGTGTGTGTGTGTGTGTGTGTGTGTGTGTGTGTGTGTGTGTGGTACCCAGGCTGCTACAGCTCTCTCCCTGGGCACCCACCCACACCTGCACACCTGGGGCTTGGGGGCATCATCAAGCACCAGGACTGGGGTGGGGTGGGGTGGATTGGGGGGCAGTGGAGGACCTTCAGGCTGACCGCATGGACCCCCCTCAGGAGTCCTTTGGCGACGTGACCGAGAGGCGGCAGCTACGTGAGAAGCTCAAGTGTAAGGACTTCAGGTGGTTCCTGGAGAACGTGTATCCTGAGCTGCACGTGCCCGAGGACCGGCCCGGCTGCTTCGGGATGGTGAGAGGGCTGCGCCCGGGGGGGGCTGCCAGCAGGGTCCCCACGCCCTGCATGGGGCAGGTCCTCGGTGGGGTCCCTTGTGCTCCCCAGCCCCCGCCCTCCCGTTCATCCCCTGGCTCTTCCCCTCCCCCGGCTGGGTTTGGCTCTCAGCTCGCTCACGTGGAAACTTGTGAACGAGACTCAGGTTCTGCCTGTGATTTTGTGCATGAGGAGACTGAGTCTTGCCTGGACTCCTTACCGCCTCTACCCATAACATCACTTCTCACCCTAGTCTCAGTGTCTGGGTCAATCAATCATTCCCACCTCAGGGTCCTTGGTGACCAGAGGGGGGGGGTTGAGGGGGATGGGGCAGGAAAAGGAGAGTCACTTCTGTTGTTCACCAAAAGAAAGAGAAAAGGAATGTTTGGAGGGGGGCCCAGAGAGATAGTCCCTGGGTTAAGGTTAAGCTTTGCCCTTTGTGTGGCCAACCCTAGTTTGATCCCCGGTGCCAGACGTGGTCCCCTGAACACCGTCAGGAGTGGCCCTTGAGTACCTCGAAGTATGGCCTAAACACCCGTTCCGCCCCACTTCCAAACCCCTGCACACAAATGGGAAGTATTTGGGCTGTGGGGGTTGGGGTTGGGCTTCACCCGGTGGTGCTCAGGGGTCACTCATGATGGTGTTGGCGTCAGACTGGGGCTTGGTTGCCTGCCTGGCAAGTGCCCTCACCCCCCAGACCCTCTCTGGCCCCAGTGCACCATTCACTCTGGAGAGAAATCACGCCAAGGTAGAGACTCCCCTCTCCTGGGCTGCACGGCTGGGCGACGCTGCTTCCCCCATTCTGGAAGCCCTTTGGTCAGCACCCAGCGGGCTCTGAACACGTTCAAATCCTTGGCCACTGTAAAGTGTCCAGGTCTCCCGAGGTGCTGAGAGGATCAGGAGGCCGCCGTGGGCTGTCTGCCCCAGAGAGTGTGTCACTCTTGCTCGCCCTGCCTCTGTCTCCTGCATCCCCACCCCACCCCGTCCCACTGCATTTCTCTTTTGTCCAAGCGCAGCCCTGGAGGGGATCATGGGACATGATGCTCTTCAGGCCTTTGCACGTGACCAAACTGGGCACTATCCCCAGCACCCCATAGGATTCCCCACCAAGCACCACCAGGTGTGATCTCTGAGCACAGAGCCAGAAGTAAGCCCTGAGCATTGCTAGATGTGATGCTCCCCTCCTTTCCCCCCCCAAAAAAATCCAAAATGAATAAATTAATAATAGGTAAAAATATCAGAAGCTCTTATTTATCTGTTTATTTTTGGTTTGGGGGCCATGTCTGGCGGTGCTCAGGGATGTACTCCTGGATCTGCGCTCAGGGATCACTCTTGGCGGTGCTCAGGAGGACCTGTGGGGTGCTGGGGTTTGTCCATGTGCAAGGCCAGACACCTGACCTGCTGTACTGTCGCTCAGGTCCCAGATGCTCTTACTTTTGGGCCTGGTTCTTGTGCCAGGCCCTTCTCACTTCCTGTTTCTCCTCCTGCAGCATCCTGAGTTGACACAGTTGTGTGTAAACCTGAACTGGAAACTCCCCTTATGTTTCTTGGTAGCTCCAGAATAAAGGACTGCAAGGACTCTGCTTTGACTATAATCCTCCTGATGAAAACCAGATTGTGGGGCACCAGGTCATTCTGTACACCTGTCACGGCCTGGGCCGGAACCAGGTAGGCGACGCTTCTCTCTGGAAAAAGGCAGCAGGGGGCCCTGGGTTCAAGGTCTTGGGAGCCTCTTAAAGAGGGAAATTGGGGAAAATCTATGTGTGTTGTTGTTTTTTAATTTTTTTTATTGAATCACTGTGGTATACAGTTACAGGGCTTTCATGATTGAGTTTCAGTCATACAATGATCAAACACCCATCCCTCCGCCAGTGCTCATTTTCCACCACCAATGTTCCCAGTGTCCCTCCTGCCACCCCCATCCCCTGCCTCTATGGCAGACAATTTCTTTCTTACTCTGTCTCTGCTTTTGGGCATTATGGTTTGCAATACAGATACTGAGAGGCCATTATGTTTGGTCCTTTATCTACTTTCAGCACATCTATGTGTGTTTTTTAAAAAGTGAATATTTGACCTCTTCAATTTATAAAGGTAATAGAGACTCATTGTAAAATATTTGAGAAATAGAAAGTGAAGCAAATGTGCCCGAGAGGAACTGGAGAAACCGCCTTCAGATGAAGATGAGTTTCTTGTCCCTCTTTCTCCTATGCAGACTCTGGCTTCTGTGTTTTAACTAGTTGTCATCATTGAATGTTTATGGTTTATACTTGATGATTTCCTCTTGCATAATCCATGCATGCTCAGATGTCTTTTTTGGGAATATTGTGCCTTTTGGCCTCTTGGTGGTTCACATCATGTAGTTCTTTGTTTGTTTTTATTTTTGTTTTTGAGTCACACCTGGGGTTACTCAGGGGTTACTCCTGGCTTTGCACTCAGGAATCACTCCTGGCAGTGCTCAGGGGACCATATGGGATGCCAGAGATTGAACTCAGGTCAGCAAGGCTAACACCCTCTCCACTGTATTATCCCTCTGGCCCTGCACCATGTAATTCTGGAGGGGTGAGATGAACTGATTCTCTGCCTGCAAAGGTAATACAGACTCATTGTAGAACATCTGGGAAATAGAAAACGGATCAAGCAGTGCCCGATAGGACCCAGAGAAACCCATTTGTGCAGTTATGACTAACCGTGCACCAATACCTACAGTTAGAGGAAGAAAAAGGAAAACCCTGCAGATCTGGGTTGGCTCAGGAGGTAGTGCTCAGGAGGGCACCTACTTGGCCGGAGAGGCTCGATTCCAGCACCCTGTCTCCCTGTGTGACCCAGGCCTGCCCTCTCCCTGGCAGTGCAGTTCCTGCCTGCACAGGACATTTTAGTGATTCCACGGTGCCATTGCCTTGGATCAAACTCCCTCGAGTTTTCCGGGAAGAGGCAGAAAATCCCAGAGAAGAGAAAGGGCAGCTCAGGCCTCAGAGTTGCCCACTTGGCTACTGAGACCGTCCGTTTTCTGGCCAGCTCAAGGGTAGGGACAGCATGGGGTCTCAAACACCCAGGGAAGAAGCAGAGCATGAGAAGGGGGCCTTGGGGAACTCTGGCCAGGCACTCACAGACCCTCAAGACTGGACACTCAGGCTCTCGGCCTGGCCCCTGCGCTCTGATCCCGCCTGGTGTCCGTCCATTCCTCCATGGCCGACAGTAACTGTTGCCCACGGACGGCTCCTTTGCAGTTCTTCGAGTATACATCCCGGAAGGAGATCCACTACAACACCCACCAGCCCGAGGGGTGCTTGGCGGTGGAGGCGGGCGGGGAGAGCCTGGTCATGGACCTCTGCCAGGACCTGGTCCCCGAGAACCACTACTTCCTCCTGCGCTCCGTGAGTGGGCAGTGTCATCTGTGCTGTCAGTCTTGGGGCTGTAGTAGACCCCGGGAGTCTCAGGGAGGAGCGGGCCCCAGGCATGCTGGGATAAGGGACACGCTGGGAATGGGGGTGGGGTGGGATGGGGAACTGTTGGGGCCTTTGTCTTGCAGGATCCCTAATGCTTGGTCTGTCTTCTCTTGTTCACTTGGAGTTGCTGGGGGCTGGGCGGGACTTGGGACTCACCTGGGGGCTGCTGCTGCTGCTGCTGGAATGGGGTCTCCTTAAAGCAGATGTGAGGGCAGATCCTGTGGGGGGAGAGTTGGGGTGGTGGGGAAACTTTTACTTCTGTAAATCTCACCCCCATCTTCCCCAGCTCTGGAATCAGGGGGAGCGGAAGGGGAGATGGTTACAGGGGTCACCAAAGCACACACCCAGCCCTGGATTTATCCCACGTGGCCCCTCCTGAGCTTCACCATTTGCAGCCCTGGAGGTCCTGAGCATCACTGGGATGGCCCTGGTGGCCCCCAGCACTGCAGGACCTAAGCATCACCTCCTCAGGTCTTAGCATTCAAGTAGATGGCCTGCTTGGCCCAAATCCCCACGGTTTTCTATCCCAAGAGTGCTCTGGAGGACCCCCTCCAGTAAATAAATAACTTAAGAGGTGAACCAAATAAAACGAGGGCAGTACCCATAGCTTTGTCCAACTCTAGGAAGGACTCGGTGGATACCCGGCAGCTTCCTTGGAAGCTGTCAAGCCCAGGCAGGGGCGCTGAGTGGTCACTTGTAGCACAGGGCCAGGCAGGGATTTACTAAGGTGCTTGTCCTGTGGGCAGCCATCCCTGGTTCAATCCCTGGCACCACCTCTGGTACCCAGGCCCCTCTACAAGTGACCCCTGAGGACCCGAGCATCCCACACCCCACAGAAATGTTCCTTGCAGTGTACACTACCCCTGCTGGGGTCTGTTCTCCATCACCGTGGATTTGGAGCGGGCAGGGAATGCAGGCCCAAGAGGCACTAGGTCCCTCATGCTGTGACCCCCTCTGCTGTGGACGCTTGAGGAGATATGTAATTCGGCTGTAGCTTTGGCTCATTCGAGCACGGTTTGAGCACTGAAGAGGAGACAAATAATAAGAATGAAAAAGGAAAAAAACCCCAAAAAAACAATAACCTGTCCTCTTTCCTTGGATTCATTCTCAGCCTGGCCCCAGGGATGGGAAGATTCTTCTGTCATACTTACAAAGGGTTCATTCTATGTATGAGAAGAAAGTAGAGGACATTTTCTGGTAGAAAAATGTTACAGTTAGGAATGAGAAGTGGAGTCTGGAAGGGTGATGATTCTTGGGTCAGAGGGAGGCTGTATGACAGGCTGTACCTCTGTGCCCCAGACCTTCTGGGTTCCTTCACCCAGTGCAGACATTTCTATATATATATATTTCTGAAAGGACAAAAAAAAAAGATCCACAGGCTCAAGAACACATTTTTTAAAAAATAATTTTCAATTTTTATTTTTTTTGGGGGGGGCACACCTGGCGATGCTCAGGGGTTACTCCTGGCTCTGCAATCAGGAACGACTCCTGGCAGTGCTTGGGGGACCATATGGGATGCCAGGGATCGAACCCGGTTCAGCCGTGTGCAAGGCAAATGCTCTCCCTGCTGTACTATTGATCCAGCCCTGCAAGAACACATTTTCAGGAAAAATCCTGTGAGCAATCACTTGTCATTCTCTGAAATTGCCTGTGATCTTTCCTAGGATGGTTCTTTGTTTCACGAACAGTCGAAGGAATGTGTTCAGGCCGAGAAGGAATCCAACGACAAGTTTGTGCCACTCTTATGGGACTGCACCCTCTCAAGCCGTCAGCAGTGGTTCTTCCAGGAACAGATGCTATGACCAGGCGGGAGCACACCGGAAGTGATGGCCCTAGCCCCTGGGCCCAGCAGAGAGGGGCCGGGCTCCCCGACAGAGCGCCCACTCAGCTGCCTGCCTCCGATGCCGAAGGTTAAGGTGGGGTGGGATTCGGTGCATAATGTGAATGCACTTGGTACTGGTTTGGAAACATTTGCCACTGTTCCCAATTACCCCCGTTTTCAAAGGGTAACCATCAAATGTTCACTTGTGGTTTTCAGGGAATTAAAATTTTCAAATATTTTTCTATTATATTTTTCCTATTGTGTTGTTTTATTTCCTCTGGAAAAGAGGTATATAATTCAAGTTGGTACTTGCAGTAGTTCCCAGGGCATGTCTGCATGAGTTCCCAGGAAATCAGACTCACGGCATGTACTTTGCATCCCTTGGTACTACCTCACACGCTGGGTTGGGTGTTTCCTCCCTGTAGATAGATAAAATCTAGGAATCTGGCATTGGTTCCTTCTGGGCATTTAGAGATTACTGACGTATTTACATATTTAATAAAAAGGCTATTTAGTTGGGGCTGGAGCGATAGCACAGAGGGTAAGGCGTTTGCCTTGCATGCGGCCAACCCGGGTTCGATTCCCAGCATCCCATATGGTCTCCTGAGCACCGCCAGGGGTAATTCCTGAGTGCAGAGCCAGTAGTAAACCCTGAGCATTGCCAGGTGTGATCCGAAACGAAAAAAATAAAGGCTATTTAGTTATTTATTTTGGTGGAGGCCACACCCACTTCTTTGTCAGTCTCGTGGAGAAGAGAATGTTTTCTGTGGATTTCATAGCCGTGTTTTTCAGGGGTTCCCATAATATGCTTTCTGAACTTATCACACTCTTTTCAACTTGTTCCTGTTATTTCCAGTAAAAGACAGCACATTTGCATCAGTAGAATTGTAACCCTCCCGCCCCCACTGTGATATCATGGACTATCTTTTTTATTTTGCTTACTTTTTTGTTGTTGTTTTGGGGCCACTTCCCACAGTTCTTAGGACTTACTCCTGGCTCTGTACTCAGGAATCACTCCTGGCAGTGCTCAGGGGACCATATGGGGTGCCAGGGATTGAACCCAGGTTGGCTACATGCAAGGCAAATGCTCTACCTACCATGCTATCACTCCAGCCCCACATTCTCTTATATTACCCATATATGTGCCATTTGCCTATATGTAGCGAGTCATTTTTCTCTTGCTGCTTTAAGATTTTTCTGTGTGTGTGTGTGTGTGTGTGTGTGTTTTAACAGTTTAGGATGTCTCTTGGTGTAAACATAGAGTGATAGCACAGCGGGAAGGGCACTGCCTTGCACACAGGCAACCTGGGTTCATCTCCTGACATCCTAGATGGTCCCCCAGGCCCCACCGAGAGTGATTGATTCCTAAGTACAGAACCAGAAATAACCCCTGAGCATCTCTTGATGTGCCCCAAAACTTAATCACTTAATCACTTATCTTCCCGTTAGTCGTTGATTTGCTCGAGTGGGTGCCAGTAACGTCTCCATTTGTCCCTGTTGCCTGCTAGTGTAGCCCAATGGCATCTGTTCGCTCTGGGAACATGAAGAGCCTCAAACCGATCGTTCATGACCTTGATGAAGTCTGACCATCTGGTAGGTGGGCGGCCACGCGGTCTTTTGACATCCCGTGGAATCCATTCGGTAACAGCTCTAGTCCAGTGGTCGTCTTTAAATCTCATTACATGACCAGCCCATCTGATTTTTGACACCTTGGCAAATGAGACAGCGTCCCTGATTCTTGATCATCGATGGATGTCGGAACTCCAGATTCTTTGTCTCATTTGAGTGAAACGTGATATTCCAAGCATAGCTCTTTCAATTCTTCTTTGGGAGACCTGAATAGCGTTCTCATCCTGTTTGCGTAGGGTTCAGGTCTCTGAGGCATATGTTAATGCAGGAAGAACAGTGGAATCAAAGAGATGTGCCCGGAGCTGGAGGTTCTTCGTCCTTTTAGCTATTTCTTCGACGTTTTTGAAGGTGTTCCAAGCCGCTCTCTTCCTCCTGCGCAGCTCGGGTGCCAGGTCATTTGTCATGTTGACTTCTCGACCTAGGTACACATAGCTGTTGGATTCGGAGATGGTCGTTCCGTTGAGAGCGAATGGGGCATCAGGAACAAGGCTGTTTCTCATAAACATTGTCTTCGTAAGATTCAGCTGTAGTCCTACCTTTCCACACTCACGGTCAAAGTCGGCCAGCATTTGTGCCGCTTGGCTGATGTTTGGTGTTATTAAAACAATGTCATCAGCAAAGCGGAGGTGGTGTAGTTGCCGACCATCTATCTTCACTCCAAAACAACAAAACAAAAAAAAGAATAGATGTCTAGGTGTAGTGGATTTGTGTTTATCATCCTTGGGATTCACTGAGATTTTGAGAAAAAGAGCTTTAAAAAGTCAATATGGGATGGTCTTCGTCTTAGCTTTTGCTGCTCCTTTCTCTGTTCTTTAAGTTAGATAATGTCTAATGAGTAAGCTTTTCATTTCACATCTTCTGCCATCTCAAACCTGTTGACATCATGAAGCTTTGTGAGTTTTTTGGTCTTAAATTTCAGTTACAGTACTTTCAACTCCAAATATCTCTCTGGTTCTTCAAACATCTGATGATGTCTGTTTCTCTGCTGAGATACCCAATATATTGATTTAATGTTAACACATGTTCCATTAATCCTTTGAACAGATTTCCTTAGTTCTCAGAATATATTAATAACAGCTTTGAAAGATTTTATGATTCAGCAACTTAAAACAACTCTAAAAGGCCATTGGTAGTTTTTAACCCCTCTCCATTAGCATGAGTTTGCTGCTGATTCAGCCAGTAGGAGAGGGTGTGTTGCTAAATGATATTATTTCTTTTTAGGGTTCACTGAATTAAATCAGGTCTACCCAGTATAATTTCCTTTGTTGAAAAAGATTTAAGTTTTAAGTTAAAAGTTCAATTGAGATTTAAGTTCAGATTCAGCTGATGAGGTTAAAAAGTCAACTTCATTTGACATTAAAAAAAGTTAAAAGTTAACTGATTGGGGGCCTTAATGCCATCCTACAAAATTCGTGTTTTTAAAATGTTACTCCATTATCTTCCAGGTTCTGCTCACTCTCGAGGGGAGGGGACTATGGGGGCCAGAAAACAAGAATTCTGCAGATTGGCCTGGAATTTTGCTTTCCCCGGTCCAGTGGGTTGTTTGACTAATATTGTAAATGATGCAGGTGCGTTTGGAACTGGTTTCAGAGGTGACCCTCTCTCTGGAAGATGCCTGCTTACCAGGTGAAAAGATTCCCTTTTAAAAACCTGTACAATTCCCGGGGCCGGAGTGATAGCACAGTGGGCAGGACGTTTGCCTTGCACGTGGTCGACCCGGGTTCGATCCCCAGCATCCCATATGGTCCCCCAAGCACCGCCAGGAATAGTTTCTGAGTGCAAAGCCAGGAGTAACCCCTGAGAATTTCTGGGTATGACCCAAAAAGAAAAAAAAACTATCAATTCCCAAGAACATTTTCGGGGACCGAGGGTAGGGAACCATTCCCAGTAGTGCTTGGGGGTTACTCCCATCTCTGTATTGAGCGGTTGCTCCCAGGGGTGTTTGGACCAACCTTCATGCAAAGCAGGTGCTCAGTCTCCCAGAAACTGAACCTTTGTTGCTGGACAAGCCCCTTTCTGTCAGCTGGGCAGGATTCATTTTATTTAAATGGGCTACTTGCATGTTACTTGCTGGTTGAATATGGATGAAACATAACATTCCCAATTCATTGGCTTCCTTTTTCTCTTTCGGCAAAGCAGTTATTTTCAGGCTTATTACGATGTGCACAGACGTACCTGTACCTTGTGAAGAGGCAGGATCCGGCCCAGGAGGCGAGATGCTGCCACCTCACAAGCTCCAGGTGGTGCCAATCTCATGGACCAGGGATGGTGTTTGAGGAACAGCATATTCCTGTGGGACTAAGGGAGAGGCATCAACCCTGGGTCTGACCAGTCCCTACTGTATTACTCTCACGTGCCCACGAGATGGTGCTGTCCACCTAGGAAACCTAATCCCCTTAGCCATCAAATCTGTAGCACTGTAGCACTATCCTCCCATTGTTCATTGATTTGCTGGAGTGGGCACCAGTAACGTCTCCATTGTGAGACTTGCTGTTACTGTTTTTGGCATATTGAATATGCCATGGTAGCTTGCCAGGCTCTGCCGTGCGGGCGGGATACTCTCGGTAGCTTCCCAGGCTCTCCGAGAGGGACAGAGGAATTGAACCCGGGTCGACCACTTGCAAGGCAAACACCCTACCTGCTGTGCTAACGCTCTGGCCCCTCAAACCTATTGGCAGAAAATCACTCCAAATCGTAGGCTCAGGGATTCAGATCTGGAAGGCACCAGAAACCTGTGCTGGTGTAGCCGGCAGGATCAGCGGGAGGCCAGCGAGGGAAGAGAGTTGGCCTGAAATATCATAGCAAGGTTGAGACAGCTTCCTCCTAGTTAGCATCCTCCACATGGGTTAGGGACCTGGATTCTAAAATAGCCAGCGTGTTCTCTACTTAAAGGGTGCCGTCAGCTGTCTCCATGGGAAATCCCCCTTTCCTCTATGGCACTGGACTAGACTTTAAAGTCAAGCTACTCACCTCAGGGCCAGAGAGACAGTCCAGTGGGTAAGGTTTTTGCCTCGCATGCGGTTGATGAGTGTTTGATCTCCATACCCCATTTGATCCCTGGAGCCTCCAGGAGAGAACCCTTGAGTGCAGAGTCAGCTGTGAGTCCTCAGCACCCCCTGGTGAAACAAAAGGAGAAACAAATAGAGTAAATGACCCCTCTTGAGAAAAAGCCTCTAAAGGCTTTGCCACTTGCCTTGTTGTGTCTGAGTCACAGTGTATACTGGGCCCAGGGCTGGACACTACCCTGCTCCAGTCTGCTGAGGAGTGAGTTCTCATGCAGCATTCTGTGTAAACTCAAAAAGGGCACAGCTTCGGCTATTAACCGAAAGGTTAGTGGTTCGGGCCCACCCA